GCCCAATCACAGAACATACTTTTTGCAGTCCAGGCACAACGTGCTGCCAGGAACAGCAGCACTCCGGCACTGCAGCTGGACTGCGAGGATGGCTCATGCCAAACAGAGCAGACTCAGGCTGGCAGGTCTCTCATCCTTCAGCTCAGCCGGGCGCTGCTGCAGTGAAGACAAGGGGAGCAAAGGCAACAACAGCTCCCTCGGGGACCTGCATTGCCCCAGGCTGCAGACAAGCAGCCTCAGCCAGGTCCAGCCCAGCCCTTCTGTCCCATGCAGCCCAGCCTGGCTGGCAGGAGGCCTCCACAGGCTGTGGACACCAATCAGCCCTTGGTGGAGCAGGGCCCAGCCTGCTGCAGAGTCACCCTCCAGGGGTTTCTGTCACCAGCACTCCAGGACCTTCTGTGGGAAGACGTGGGCACACACACTGCCCGAGGTGTCCTCTGTGACGGCTCTGGGAGCAGCACCCGGGCTGTCACCAGCAGGCAGACCATGACAACCCCCTCTCACCACCCACACGCAGTGCTGCAGTGCCAGCACCATCTCCATCTCCCCAGAGGCCGAACCCTCTGTTTCCGTGGCAACTCCAGACACAGCCCCCTGGCACTCACAGCTGAGCTGCCCTGTGCTGGAGGCAGCAGTGTGCACCTGTAACAGGATGCCGGCAGCCCTCTCCCTTGCTCTCTTCATCCCAAAGGTAGTGTTTAATCATAACCTCGTGGTGAGGAACAAGCACTGTCCCACTACCTGCCCACAGGGCCCGCTGCATTTCCTGGGCATTCAGCTGGAAGAAGCAGAGCCTGCACAGCAGCTGCTCAATGGACGTGTGTCCATGGCGAGGAGGATGGCACCAGCTCCACTGAACAACCCTTGGGCCACCACATGCATGTGGGAGCAGGACAAGTGCCCTTGTGTGACATTGCTGGGGAGGAGACCCGATGTTTCTTTCCAAACCACGTGCTTGGCCACCTCTCTGGTTCTGAAAGCGTCTCACCACAACATAACCTCCCGCCAGTGCACTGCCAACTTCCCCACTGCCACAGCATGTATCCTGCCGCTACAGCAGGTGGCAAAGGACACAAGCCAAGAACAGAGCACCAGGGTGCCCTATGGCTCAATGGTGAGCTGGCCTTTTCCAAACCCACTAAGGACCCTCCCAGAAGGCTGAGAAGAGTCTCAAAAGCCCTCAGCTATTACGGAAGGAGCATCTCCCAGGTTGGCAGAGAGGAGGTAGTGGGATGCAGGTGACCCCAGCATCCCCAGCCTGCAGCAAGCCTGCAGCTGAGCCCAGAAAACTCAGATAAGCACATCAGCCCCAAGCAACTCCTTCAGAGCCCACTGGCCTCACTTCGAGCAGCTTCAGCAACCTGATTTCTAGTAGTATCCATTCCTGGGAGCAAGTCCTATAGATCCAAACACGACAGTGTTTTATCCCCACGTCCTGCTGTGCTAAGCACACTGCCAAAACTCAGCCACAGGTGATGAATCCTCCTCTGGAGGGATTTAGGAATGGAAAGCTCTTTCCTTCAGTGCAGTGCTGGTGGAATCATCAGTGCAACAGGGTGGAAGCCCGTCCTAGCCCTTCACACTCATGGCCAAAGGCAGTAATGAAGGTACTACATAGATCAGGAGTTGAGAGCTCTCAGACAGTCACCCCAAGACCTGCCAGGACTTCAGGGGCAAGCAGCAAAGCTGCAACTTTGAAGGAAAGCCACAGCTCCTGACACTCAAGCAGGCCTCACTGAATGTACACCCAAAGGTGGGGTAAGATTACAGCTCCAGTACACATCTTAGAGAAGCCTTCAAGAGCTGAGCAGAGACAGAGATCGGCAGTGGGTGTTCACCGCAGATGCATGGCAACAGGGCGGAAGCTGGACTCCTAACTGAGATAATACAGAAGAGGTTAGAAGTTTCAGTCAAAGCAAGCAGAGTGCTGAGCCAGCAGCCATCATTTCCCAAGATGAGTTTGAGGGAGCTGGCAACATTCTCACCAGCCTTCAGGGCACACACTGCCACATACCACAAACCAATTTGCTCAGACAACACCAAAGCAGTTGGGATGACACAGAGTAATCTTCATTGACTAAGGCATGTATCCCTGGGAGTATGGACTCCAAATCAAGAGGAAAATGCACCAGCAGCCCTGAGCCAAGATGGTGGAGCAGGCACAGTGCTGCCCCAGCTCCACTGCCCAGCAGTGAAGGATCCCGCAGTCTGCACGTCACAGCCCTGGCCAGCATCCCATCACTGCATGAGGTAAAGACTAGGGAAGAACGAGCAGCTTTATCTTCCTGCCTACTCTGGAAAGCAGACCTACAGCAAATCACAGGCAAAAGGTGGGAAGTGCAACATCCTGAACCAATTCTTGCAGTAAGGAGCTGATCCTGCCTGGGGCACTGAGAAGGGAACTCAGCAGCTACTCTATGCTCATCTGTGATTGGCTGCCACTATAAAACTGCCTGCAATCAGAATTATGGGGCTAAATCATCCCTGTGATGATCATCACGACAGCATAGAAGGCTCTGCTTTGAAGATAGTCTCAGCCCTTCTGACTGGCTGCCTGGAAGCACTTCTTTACCACGTGGGTGACAGAGCACTTGCACAGTTTGCTCAGAGAGGTGGTAGAGTCTCTTCCTTTGACACCTTCAAAAGCAACCTGGACATGGTGCTGGCTACCCTGCTCTGGGTGGCCCTGATGGAGCAGAGTGGGATTAGGTGGAACCAGAGATCTCTTCCAACCGTAACCATTCTGTGACTATGTTTTGCATCTCCAAAAGAGCCCTGTATCCACTGCTTTAGACCTGGACCAGAATTCTATTTTCTCCACTCGTATCTTGTGCATCACTTCCTAGGAGGGAGGCCATTCCCTTATAGCAAGCACCCAAGAAAGCTTTTCCTCTTCACTCTGCCTGACGAAATCTATCAGTAAGCCCTTTGTGATATTCAAGAGTTAGGATCAGCTGCAAAGGAACTGCAGAAACACACAGAAATTAGAGGCTTACTCCTAGGATGACAATCATGCCAAGTGAGGAGCATCACCAACCCTCCCAGAAGTGTGGGGATGCCTTCCCCAACACAAGAACACCAGCAGGTTGGGCCACACCTCCTCCAACATGGCTCCACATGCCCAGACTCATCAGGACAGTAGGACCCATGGGCTCCATGCTATTGCTCCAGTGCATGGCTCAGCAAGTCTCCCCAGAGCTGCTACAAGAGCACAGCAGCAGATCAGTTCTGCTTTAATGTACATTTTCTCCAAGCCACTGGTGGAACAATGCCTTGCACAGCTAACCAGGACATCTGTTAACAAAGCACAATTGAAAAAGGGGAAACAAGAAACACAGCTTACCCAGACCCGGGCCACCAATCTCCTGCTGCACCTGGGACACCAAGCAAACGTATTAGCAAAGGCATCACTGGGTGTCAGGAGTCACCACAGGGCTCTCTTGCAGCTCCTGGTGTGCCACCCCGTGCAGAGAAGCAGCAGAGGGTTTTTTTCTCCTGCTTCCCATGCCCAACACCCCATCCAGTCCACCTTATCTGGCACCCCCAGGCTTGGAGCAGCTAGTTAGTTTTTATGAGCAGTTCCTCCCAGTAAAGCTAAGAGACTGTCTGGATATTGGAATATCAGTTTTGTAATGAGAGGGGTAGAAATGCAGTCCCAACTTGAGTGCTTGTTTGCATGTGACTCTGTATCATCACATGCCTCAGTTTCCTTCAGAAATGGGGTGGGTGCTAGGCTCGTAGGCCATGGCTGACACAGGAACATTTGGCTGCTGCATGATGCCTGCCAGGAAGATTTGCTCCCACACTGCAGAGGTGAGTCCCTGCCTGTATGATAAGGCTGCTGGGGGTCACCAGCAGAGCCATTCCCTCATTGCTATGATAATTTTTTCTCCCCTTCCTCAGGAGAATAGTATTCCTTTCCCATTCTGAGCAGTTTGTGTCTGCTCTGCACAGCACCTTCTGCTTTGGCTCTGTTTTTAAGGCTGTCCCTGAGAAATGCCAGGGAGCCACATGGACATCCCTTCTCACTGCACTTCTACCCCTCTACTTCCAAAACCAATATTTCCAACAGCCAAATGGCTCTTCTGCACACAGAATCCCTGTCCTTCTTGCCTTCTCTTTAGACATGCACCCCCAGATCTTGAGTAGGTCTGGACCTTCAAAGAAATTCTGCAGAAGGATAGTCTCTTAGCTCATAAAAACTAATGAACAGCTCTGCTCAGAGCCAGGGACATCTCCAGCCCCAAGGAGCACACCTGAGGCTCTCGGCAAGGATGTGGATCACCTACCCACATCCTGAGTATTTCTTGCTTCAGGTGGACAGGAGCCAAATCCAAGGGGCCTGATGCCCTCTTGGAGAAGGCCTGAGCCATGAGGGCTCCACTCTTCCAGGAGTCTCAAAAATAATTCTACGACTCAGATCTATCTCTGGTCCTCTCTCATCTTCCACTCCAAGCTGGCTCATTGGGAGACACTTCATGACAGCCAAGCCCAGTCCTCCTGAAGGCCTGGGACCTATGCTTGGACCTCAGATGCCCATTTCACAAAACTCAGTGGCACATTTTATGGTTTGCGAACACACCGGCTTCTCCAGAAGACTGGGCAAGAAAAAAACAAAATCACACATATGGAAACTTAGTGTGCGATTCCCCCAAAACAGTTTCGTCAGCAAGCAAAGAGTCAGACAGCTGGTAGGAACCCTTCTGTTAGCAAAGGGGCTGTTGCCTAACACCTAAAATAGGAAAAATCCCAACACATTAGGAAAGCCATAGGAATCCAAGTTACAACAGTTCTGCATTTCAGCAGTAGCAGACCAGATTTCCACTTATCACAAGGGGGTTTCTAGCAAAGAATCAGCTACCATACAAGACTCTTTCATACTGCGGCATGACCTCTGATCTTCCACCATCAGCTACTGCAACCCATTCTGTGCTACAAAACCCTGCTCAGCCTTACATGGGATCTAGAAAGGAGAATAAAGGCTTTCAGGATAAACTCACGCTGCTTCCAGGGGCTGATCTCAGCGCTCTGTTCAGGCACAATTCAGAATCTGCAAAGAAGAAATTGGATTTGGTTAGAAATAATAAAAATAATAATCTTCCCAGGAATGATGACAAGCACACGGATGGACAGCAGTGTGTTTCTTCACAAGACAGCACCGAACTGCTTAAGCACTGCATTTAGACTCCATACAAATCCACTTGCTGGATATTTTCTGCTACAGATTATTTTATGTGCAGCTTTACTCTCAAAGAGATCAATGTGAAAACAGTACCTTCAAAAGCAGCAGGTCTGTTCACTGCATGTGTTCAGAGCCAGCTCTGCCAATTCTGAGCGATAAAAGCAAATATTTACTACGGGCAGTACTGCAGTACCTCTGAGAAGTGAAACTATCATAGACTCTTGGCTTGCACAGACAATTGCTACCCAAGTTCTCATTTCAGGGCCATCTGTGCCACATTGTCTTCTGTCCCTCTGTGTCACCTGCACGGCCCCTCTGATGATAGCCCTCACTGGTGGCAGCAAGGGCAACATCTGGTCGGCAGGACCTTTATCCCAGGCAGTGACACACACGACAGGAGGAGCCAGCCTGGCTCACCCATCCATGGGGAAGCAGGTTTGGCACACACATAGTAAAATGAGCAGTTTTAAAAGGAAATGATCTCTGGATCCTATAACAGAATTTCCAGATCCACTTTTTAGATGGCAACTTTATACAATGAAGGGGGGGGAAAAAAAAAAAAAAAAAAAAAGCCTTCATGTGCCCAGGGAACAACTGCAGTCCAACGAGTGCTACAGTTACGTGAAAGAGGAAGCAAAGTCCTATAGCCCAACAAGGATATTTCCAACCTTTTTTTTTTTTTAAACAAGAGTTAACTTATACATTCAGCACACACAGGCAATCCTCTCACAAGGACAAACGCAAAGCAGGCAGGATAGCCTGCTTATGTGAAAGTCAATCACTCCATAAACATAAACAACGTAAATCAAAACCAAAAGTCCCTTGAACATTCAGTATCAAGGACTCACAGCTCACTAACTTCACATTTCACATGGATGCAGTGAAACTCTTTCACTTCCCACAAGCAAACATCAGCTGTGCATAGCCCTACACAGCTTGCCCTGCATGGAGATGCTAAGAACAGGCTTTGGCTCCACAGGAGTGACACAGATCCACAGCAACTTTCTCAAAAGCTTGCTCAGGGCACAAAAGCTGTTCCGCTTCCATTTGGATGGAGTCCCCAAGCAGCACAGCAACATGAGGTGACACACAGCAATGACAGCATCTCTTTTCACACTGTCAATCTGTAGCAGCCAGGCCAGAAACTGCAGTTGGCTCAGGCCCATGCCCTCGCCAACAAGGACAGGACTTTCTGTCATCCATCAGCCCCAATGCAGTAAGCTAGGAGCATCATCAACTCCAGGGTAACAACGAAATGCCTTTAGGTTGGGAAAAAACGATGCCCCAAGATGATTTGCACAAGAGCTACGAGGAAAAGAAAGAGAGAGTTTCAGCCCACCCCTGTAATGCTGCGTCCCTTCCCCAGCTCTCTGCCATTGTCCTCACAGTGGAAAGCACAGGCTCCCGTGGTCGAGGGCTCTTGTGCTGATGCTACCACGCTCCACATGCCCTGCCCTCTAGGAAAGTGCTGCTGCAGCCCTGCACGGCCCGCTTTTCTCACTGGGCTGTCTCTCTGCACTGGGAGCAGAGCTGGGACGCAGCACAGAGCACGGCTGCTTCAGCTACAGGCCCTGCCCTCCCTGCCCTCCATAAGCAACGGCAGCCGTGGCCTAGCCACACGCTGCATCACACACAGGCTCACCGTGAGTCACAGCGCCAGCTCATGCTGCTATGCTCCAACATCACCGCCTGCATACAGTTCACCTTTCCCAGACCCCAGGGCAGTACCTCCCTGACCACACGCCCCACACTCCTTGCTCCCGTATCTGCGGGCCAGGGGTTGCCACTGGTGTGCCAAGGCCACTGCCACGTGTGTCATTACACACCTCAATCCCACATCCTACACCCACCTCCTCAGGCAGACACTGCCTATGCCAGCAGGCCGGATGGAGGAGCTGAGAGCAGAAGTGCTGTCCCGTCCTCTGCCAGCAGCTGGACACAGCAAGCTGGGCCGAGCAGCTGAGCAGGCTCGAAGTCCGCAGCTCGTGCTCCTGCCCCGAGAAGGTCATACAAACACACGGGGATTCCTCCCAGTCACTGCCCTCACAGGGGTGAGCTCCCAAGGCCCTGATCCTCTTCTGCTGAGCCCAAAGATTTTTGTGGGGCTCCCGACACTGCTCCTGACTTCATGCACTTGGCTTTCTCCAACCCAGCTCAAGAGATAAGAGCAGAGGCAGGCAGGCAGACAGACACATGGAAGTGGCCTGATTTTGTCCAGCCTGAGGAATGAGCATCCATCAGCAGTCTGTGATGCAGGGCTCACCACGGCTGCGCCACGTCCCTGCAGAAGGGAGGATGGAGGAGGTGGTCACTGAGCACAGGGCAGCGACACTCAGCACTCCTCCCCTACCTGCCTGTGTTGCAGCACCAGTACACACTGCCAGACAAAGCCACCATGCTCTGGAGCAAACACAGACCGTCCTTTCTTCCTGTCTGCTGCTGCTGCAAGGAGCGGCTTTCACCAAAGCCGGCTGCATTTCAGCAAGGAGACACTTTGGAATTGGAGCTACTGCATCAATTAACATCATATTAATGACGTGCTCTGAGAATGCAGGCATCTGGGAGCAAGACCCTCCCCCATCCCTGCTAGCTTCCAGCTTCTCCACTACTGCTAGCAAAAATGCATGCTAGATTGCACTGCAAGCTTCTGCCATGCAGCTGTCCTCAGCACAAGGCTGATGTGTACACCATCTCAGCCACAGACAAGTGCTTCAGGCTGAAAACATTCCACAATGACCCACATCGTCACAACCCCACAGCAATTATCCAGTCTGACCCTGACAGGGCAAGCACAAGTACTGGTTGTCAAAGCAGGTGCTGGGGACATCAACCACAGGCAGTCACTCAGACAAAAACTACAGCCCTTGCAAGGGGCAGATCTGAGCCAGCAATGCTGGCAGGCACATCTATTCACAGGGGCTAGGAGAAAGCTGTTTGTCAAGCCCAGCTTGCTCGAATCTAGGCCAATGCATTGCAAGAACCCTGATCAGTCCAACAAAGGTCAAGAAAGGGGACAAGGATTCATGCTGTTCCTTTTGCTTGTCCAGGAACATAAGTAGGGCAGAGCAGCACAGCAACCCCAGGGCAGCTTACTGAAGAATGAAGACCCGAGTAGAGGTCCAGCCATGCGCAGCTCATGGGTAACATCTCCCAACTCTTGGGTAACATCGGCTCTGGTGCACAAGAGGAAACAGCCTAACCAGTTCTCAGCAGATGACTGGACCACACCACCACAGCCATGTTGTCCTGCCCGTGCATGCTAAGCTGCATCTGGCAGGGGGTGAGGCTGAGCTTCAAAGCTCTTGCACCAAAGTAGAAGGGGCAGGGAGGGTTATAGCTACAGTAGAAATTGCCATCAAAACACAGCAGTGGCAGCTGCATTTTCTCTACCTTTACCTCCTTTGTTTATCTCTGGCTGTCATCCTAAAGCCAGCTGTGGTTCTTACAGACATATGATGCACTACCATACATGTCCAACCCACTAGTTTCATAGTTCTGTTGCCTTCTTTTACATTTAAATTATATATATATATATACATAAGAAGTTTTGTTACTTACATACAAAAGATATGCAATAGTTAACGTATGTGGCCCAAGACAACTTCCCTTCACTTAGTGTGTTCCAGACAAGCCAAAGGGTTGAGCACCCATGATAGACCAGGGTAACCAACAAGGACATCCTCATCTTTTGGTTCCCTGAAGAAAAGTCCCAGTGAATTTGCAGAGGTAACAGCCCCTGATTCACATAGGAACGCATATATCCAGAGACAGATTAAACATCAAAGGGTATTTTTGTTGCTCTACCATTACTCTGCAGGAGCATCACACACAAGGACTTGCAATAAATCTCTCTTCAAAGGCAGCACTTCAATTCAGGTTGGAAGTTTCCTACCCCAAAGCTGAGCATTAACACTGGGTTTGTATTCCTGATAAAAAATTCTGTGGTTCCATAGCAAACGACAGACCTAGCAGGCCTTTGCACAGGATCATTAACCCACTTTGAGAATTTTGCCACTTCCCTCTGGTCCCTGGCAAAGAGGAGATCCAATATTTCATCAGGTACCACGCCATCTAATGCTCAGCAGGAGCCCCTGCCAGCAGAGACACAGCCAAATCAATAGTCCATCTAATAAGATTTAATTGCTTCTCTGAAACACAGGGATACTGCATCCCTGCCAGGACTGCTAGGGAGAAACACTTGCAGGACTTCTCCCAGGGCTGCAGCCCTTCATGTTTGCCCCCATGGATGATAGTTCTGAAGTGCTCCCGGGTGACTGAGCATGGGAACGGTGAGCTGGGCAGCCCCCCCAGCAGCAGCCTGGCAGGGCATGCACCTAGCTGCCTCCAGGCTCACCAGTGCAAGCGCAACGACAAGCACAATGAGCTGATTACAAAGGGAAAATGTCATTTAAAAAACACAATCAGATTCCAGTCTCTTCTGCCCATAACAAAATGCCTCATGAAATGGCTCATTCTGCTCTGCCATAGAAATGTGTTTCCCTTCAGAAGCCTGATATGAGCGGAAAAGAAAGAAAAAAAATGCAAATCTAAAAATATCTTCTGAAAGATACCATGACATCAACAGATTCACAGGAAAATGAGGTGGGAAGAGGGCTACGAATGTGATAAAATTCTATTTAATTTCCCCCAGCCACCTAAAAATCCACCAAAGGCAGAAATGATACTTTCTCCTTTGTGCAAAAGAAGACTCCACCCTGTGTTTTCCTCTCCATCTGATACATAGCAAAGGATACCAACACACATTTCTGCTCTGTCACCAGTCAGCAAGCGGGGCGCAGGCAGTGAGATAGCTGGAAGGAGTCAGGTGGGTGGAACCTGGCAGAAATGCCATACTGTAAATCCCCATTCACTATCTGCTCACACATGGGATGCATTTTACACTAACATCTGGCACAAGATTTGACTGTGTCTCTGATAGCCTGGATGGAAAGCAGTGTCTGTCTTTTGGACCAGACTGGGAAACTGGCAAGATGAAGCTCAACATGATTACCATTGGGTCCAATTACAGCTGGTGGGCAGAGGCCTGACTTCTGAAATGGGATCAGATCCGATACTAAAGCAGTACCACATTTCATCTCCACAAAAAGGCCAAGTGCCCAAATGAAACTGCTGACCTTCTGGAAACTGCAGATCTGCAGATTCAGCCTCATTTGTCTCGTGGTTTGAGCACAATGGTGTCAGCACAGACTCCTCTGTGATCACAGAAGACCCATTGGCTACTGCATGGGGCAGATCCAGTCTGAGACACTGCTGAGCCCACACGGCAGTGTAGTGCCCTTTGGAGGACAAAACACAGACCATCAGTAAAAGATGGAAGGGAACTGCTCTTCCAAAGCACTGTTTTCTGGGTTTTAAGGCTCTGCCTGTTACCCCCACCTTCTCAGATAGCAAATCTGTGAGGTGTGCACGAGTATGTAGATGTACATGCATACACTATGTGCAAGGCACTAACTGCTTCTCAGCTTCAATTCAAAGCACCTTCTGCATCTTCAAAGCTCTGTACTGGGGCAAGAGGGCAAAACCACCCAAGAGGGCTCCAAGATGACACTTCTTTTTCATACAATCCCACATTGCTCTGTCTGGTGCAAGGAAAGCAAGCCTTAGCTTCTGCCCCAATTGTATAACAGCTGGGCCCAATAGCTCTTGGCACAGCCATTCACCTCCTTGGAGAAAAGAAGGGGAGGGCGGAGCAACTGCCATCCAAGATGGGGGACGCCCACACGACCTGGGACAGGAAAGCTGCAATAGATACAACTGCCCAAATCTATTTCTTTGATGCTCAGGGGGCTGAAAGACCTCTTCTACAAAGACAGGCTGAGGGAGCTGGCCTTGTTCAGTCTGGAGAAGAAAAGGCTGTGGGGAAAACATTATGATAGCCTTCAGTATTTAAAGAAAGGTTCTGAACAGGAGGGAGAGTGACCTTTTACACAGACAATTGGTGACAGGGGAAGGGGAGCAGCTTAAAACTGAAAGAGGGGAGATTTAGACCAGATACGAGGAGGAAGTTCTTTACTCAGAAGTGGTGCAGTCCGGCACTGCTGCCCAGAGCTGTGGGTGCCCCGTCCCTGCAGGTGCCCGAGGCTATGGCTGGGCCCTAGGCAGCCTGAGCTGGGGAGCTGCCAGCACAGCAGGGCTGGGGGGCCCTCCCATCCCAGGCATGTTGGATCCTGTGAATTAATGCTCACTGAGATCTTAAACCATCGGCTTCCACCCAAGGGCTGAGATGAAAGATGGATCTGGAGACATGGAAATACTGCAACACGTGCTCACCAAAGACAACCTCTTCCCAATGTTGTTCCCATCTCCTGTAATCTGGACAAAATGACACGCGAGAGAAAGCGTTCATTCTGCAGGCTATGCCACTGTGAGTTACTGGCATTCAAATTAGAAGAACCAAATGACACAAAGCAGACGAATTCCAAATAACAGAGTGTGGTCTCAAGGCCTATTAGTCCCTACCAATGCCACCACTTCATCCAAACTCAAAGGAGCGCACAAGCCAGCAGCAGGCCTGAGTCCAAGCTCAAACCCTGGTGTGGCTGCAGCACAGGTCAGTCCCTTCACCTCACACCACCAAACCTCACGGGTCTTCCAGCACAATCACCACAGCTGTGACAAATCCAAACCTGCTGACTCAGTGCCATCTGACTTCTCTAGTGAGAACAATAAACCACACAGCCATCACTGTCACAGCCCCGGTGCAAGCACATTTTACATGCTGTATGAGAGTCACCTATCTGTAACTGCACAAGTCTTTCCATGCAGGAGCTTCCAAGCACCAAGCTTGGGAATCTCCACTGTTTTGTGTTTCACTTTTTTTTGCATATACTCTCAAAACGGAGCTTCAGAATAGTCTCAGGCCTCCAAGTGACAGGCACCGCATTAAAGTCTACGATATAGCTAAACACAGGCCTTCCAGACGCCCACATTGATCTGCCACCGAGCCTAAGCTCATACTCAACCAATCTCCTCACACACGCTGCACCATCAGTATCCCAGCTGTCACTCAGGCAGCGTATCACTGTGCCCAAAGCAGTGGGGAAATATAATTTCCTAGCTGAACAAAATTAAGGCAAGAGACACTCATGCAGAGCCTGTGAAAACAGACAGGAAACCCAGAGCAATCCTGAACACAGCCAAGCCCACCTCCTGCACTTTAACCAGCAGGCCATTCTCCATTGACTTCCATCATTTAGAAATCATGATTATTTACAGGACACTTTTTTTAGGAACAGAATTAGCCAGAAACCGGACTAGTTTGTCTGTCTATGAAAACCTCCTCTAGCAATGCATGACTATTCTGCAGTGCTAGTGCAAGGGACATCTCAGTCATTTACAGGACTGCTAGAAGCAGAAAGAAGAAAAGGTTACTGTATAAATAAGGTGATCTCCTCATTCGGATCACAGTCATTGCTCAGAGAAAAGAGAAATCAGCTGCCTTGGGGAGGAAAACTGATTCTGAAAAATTTCTCCATTCCATATCGCAGCAATACCACAACTTTCTTCAGCCAACCCAGACTCCCTCCTGACTGTCCATCACACTTGAGCCCCTCACAAGGCTGTTGTCACAACCAGGGCTCTGCTACATGCAGCAGTGTCTACTTCAATGGCTCCACTACCATCTGAAGTTGCTGTTAAAGCAATAAACATGGCACAAGGGTTGTGAGGAGATGCTCACTGCTCCCAGGAATGGCTGCAAGCAGAGGAGGCAGCTCACATCCCCTGGGGACACATATATGCTGATTATTCAACAGTCAATTTGGGGATTGTACTCGCATAAGGGATAAGGGAGAAAGAGGGTGATTCTAGACCTTCCGTGTGCTACAATAACTAGAGTCTGGCACACTCACAGAACACACCCTATGAGCCTGTGGTCCTCGCTAACAGCAGGGCTCTGAGCACCCAGGGAGACCTGCAGACAGGCTCCAGGTTGCCAAACCAGAAGCCAAAAAACACAATTAAACAGTAATTGTCTTTTTGTCAGGATCACCACTCAAACCATGCCTTCCCTAAGCTCCAAACTTCCTTGAAGGCAACACGGGCAGGCAGGCTGCTGAAGGCCATGAGTGCAGATCCCCAGCCATGGCAGCCAAAGGACATCCGCAAACGTGCAGTGGGCAGCGGAGGAGGCAGAGAGCTGCAAGGCATCCCTGAGAGGCAGCCCTTGGTCACAACACGCTTCCCACGTCTCCGTTTGTTTGGATGCAAGAGCCCCTTTGTACAAGGCCAACGTGAGATGACCACAGGGGGAAGGAACTGATGAGCAGGCCGGTCTCTAGGTGTGCTGAGAAAGCCACACCTCTCAGGGCATGTCAGCAAGGAGAGGGCTCATCAGGAGTCACCTCACACAGCCTGCAGCCCAATAACAGAGCTCTTCCACCGCCCGCTCCTGCAGCGCTGCAAATACTCCATAACACGTCCCCGACCATTGTTTGTCCGCAGAAGGGTCCCCACCGCCACGCATGGCTAGGCACGGAGCAGAACAATACTACTGCAGAAGCAGCAGTAGGAAGAGTACTTCATACGGAAAGCATTGACAGAGGGGACCCGCGTAGCCCTAATACGATCACCCAGGTAACGGTCTGTGGAGAAAACGCTGAGCTCGAGGATACCTCCAGAGCCCACCTCCTGCCATATGACGATACTCCAAAAATAACCACAGAAATATGCGAGGACCCGGTCCAAGTTGTTCCTGGCTCTCCTTCTAATGTAAATCGTCCCTCTGAAATCACAGCCCCGCGGTTAAACGCAGTTACCGCAATCCGCAGCGCCGGGCGGGCTGCGGGGCCGGCGGATCCCCGGGCTCTGCTGGGCTGTGCTGGGCTGCGTCGGTCCGGCTGCACGGCCGGGCTGCTGCTTCACCGCGCCCTGCTCGCCCCTCTGCGGCCGGGAACGCGGCGCTCCGGGCCCCGCGCCTAGAAACGGCGGCGATGAGAAGCGCTGCTCGCCGCTCCAGGCTCACCGAGGAAGGGAGACCGGGCGGGGAGAGCCGCAGTCGCTTCTCTGCGGCCCGGCGAGGCGGCCCTGCCCAGCCCCGCCCCGCCCCGCCCCGCCCGCCGCTCTCCGCGGCCAAACGCACCTGGGGCCGCCGCGCTCCGGCCGTGCCCCGCGTCGCTGCTCCGCGCGGGCCCTCACCTGGGCCCGGTCCGCCACCGACTTCCTCCGGGGCGCGGCCCCGCGCCGCAGCGACTGCCGCCAGCCGCCAGCCCGCCGTACGGCGGGAGTGCAGCGCGGGGCGGGCCGCGGCGCTGCGGAGGGAACGGCCCCGCGCCGCCGCACTCCCGCCCCCGCCCCACCCACTGGGAGCCGCCCCCGGCCGGGCCGCTCGGCTCCGCTCTGCGGAAGCTCCGCACGGGCGGGCGGCTACGTGGTGCGGAGCTCGGCCCCGCCTGGAGTCCGCCGCCTCGAACAGAACTGCCGTTGGGATCGCGCGGGAGGAGCCGCGCTCTCGAACGAGCCCCGGCGGCCGCCGCTGCGCTGCCTTAACCCCTCCCGGTGCGGCTCAGCCTGCGCGGCTGCGGCACCCCGCTCCCCCGCGTCCCTTCGGGATCCTCCGCAAACCGCCGGGGGCCGCAGCTGGGAGCTACGCGTCCCCGCTCGGCGGAGGAGCTCAGCCTCCGTCGGGCAGGAAGTCTGCGGCGAGCGCTGCGGCTCCCAGAGGCGTGGCCGCTCCCGGAGCGCTCTGCGGGGCCTGGCACGGCCCGGACGCTGCTCCTAGCGCGGGCAGCGCTCGTACAGAGCGCGGTGCGGCTGCGGGTTGGCCCGGTGTCCGCCGGAACCCCGTGCCGGGGTGTCCGCCGAGCGGCGCCCTCCGGGAGGTGCGGCCCCGTAAAGCTGGGTAAATAGCGAGAACCCCTCGGGGATAAGCCGCCGCGCTAGGGCCGAGAGAGAGGCGGTGGCATTCGCTTACAAACAGAAGGCGTGTCCTCTGGTTGCACGGATTCCCTTTACGGAGTTTTTGCCTTTGGCCGTCTGTCGTCGTGCCGTGCTGCTGAGTGGGTGCCACACCTTGCCGCTGCGCTGCAGGATTTCTGGGGAACGGTCGAAAGAAAAAGATTTGTACAGCTGTGTTGCTAAAAAGATGTGGTCTGGGTGCAGTCTTGAGTCCTTGATTTGCTGCCTGTTTTTACCTTTCAGTGGAAGAATTGCTGTTCAGTGCGTCAGGTTCTCTCATACCCTAACAGGAAATTTAAATGTTAAAAATGAATTTGGGTCAAAAATTTGGTGGGTGACCACATGCATTCAAAGTATGGTTTCATAGTGCATGGCTGAGAGCGTTCCCCCTGAGGAGCTGAGGAGCAGAGCAGGAATGTGCAGGACAAATCCCTGCTGGTGCTGAACAAACGGCCTTGAGCTGTCTGCCAGCTGCCAGGAAGCTCAATCCCTCCTTTTCAGCTAAAACTGAAAATCCTCAACAGCACTGAAGATGTGGAAAATCCATTCTATATGGAGATTTGGCCATACTGCCCTTTGCCCCTAAAATGAGGAAAAGAGCTTAATTTGCAAAATACTGACCATCATCACGTGATGGGCCCTCTTCTGTTTATTTAATAACACAGAAGCTTTTTTTGCATCTTTGTCAAGTCTCGCTCCATGGTGGCAGTGATGGAGATACCTGCTCAGGTGTCCCATATAATAGATAGCGCAGGGGGAAGGGACAGTAAACCAAAACAAGAAAATAGAGAAATTCAGAGCAACCAGCACTTTTTGGGTTACTCACATAAACAAACATCTCCAGAGGTTAGCTTTTTCATCAGGAAGTGTTGTTACAGCAAGCAGCCAGTACTCAGCCAGGTGGAACTGCATGTTGGCTGCTGGACAGCTTGGCTGCCCAGTGTCTCGTATGTGACATGATGTGGAGGAAGGAGCTTGAGTGCACCACTCCCTACCTGGGCAGCAGCTCCATGGGAAAGCCACCAGGCAGTCAGATCGTGCTTTGTCACCAAAGGGAGATCTGGTGGCACATCCTCATGGTCTGGCAGAATCAGCTTGGAACAACGGTGCCAATGCAAAGAAATGAGGGATGGCACAAATTGAAAGGGCTTGCAGACATGTGATGGTTCTGTGTTAGGACAGATTTGGTCACTAGGCCTCCTTGAGAACCTGTGTGTTTTTTTTGCTGTCATGTCTTTGTTCGGTTGTTATTCCAGCAAGTTTTCTTATTACAGCTTACTACACCTTCAAGGAATCCGGTCTGCCTCTATTGAATAGAAAGCAAAGAGGGTTATCGCATGTGTCAGTTCTTCCCCTTGAGGGTACTTCTATGCTCTTTGTTGCAACATTGTTTTCAATGATTCCTATTTTAGTCAGGGTTGGTGTCCCTGACAGAAACAGTAGCTGTTAACACTTCACGCCTTCCATGCGCAGCACCAACTACGAATTAGTGAAGTGCTCTTCTGGTTATTAATAATCACTGCAAAGTATTCATCGTCAGATCTGCAGCAGAAGCTGAAGTGAGATTGTGTTTGCCCTCACTTCCAAGATGAAGTGAGCTTAGGGAGTCCCGGCCTGAGCTGCTGCTGGAACTGATGCTCTTCGATAACAGCATTTCGCCGCCCTGGCTTGTTTATGCGGGGTGTGAAAAGGCCTTTTGTGCCCCCTGGGGAGCCAGCTGCCAGCTGGGAGCAGTGAGACTCTCCCTCCGTGCTGCTCCTCGCTTCCTTCTCCCTTGCAAAGCTGTGCCTGCCATGAGACACAGGAGTTGCAAGAGGGCTTGCAGAAGTACTCAGCCCAGGTGGAAATGGAACATGGCTCCTGTGCTGGGCTCCGAGGCACTTTCTAGTCGTTGGGAATGCACTAGTGTTCCCAGAATCACTGCAGCTCCAGACAAATGTTTCCACCCAAAGAAAACATATCCAGGTCTTGGTTGCTCATGCAAGGCTACCTGGTCCATCTTCCTCCAGGCTGTCTGAGTGGGACTCAGAGCTTATGGAAGTCCCTGGGACATCAGACAAATTAGGCCAGGCCCAGTAGGAGTGCTGACTTTGGGGGATTGTCCCAGCAAAAAGTGCTATTTCTGTCTAAGAAACTGACTATCAGTGCACTTTGAGACAGTGCTAATGTTAAGAATCACAGACACGAAGAGGACATAAAAAACTAAAACTAAAAAGAAACAAACAAACAAAATACGTTCTGGATTTCATACTTTCGTGTTACCAGTTAAAAGTCATGGTGCCCCAGCTCCTAGAGCCAGATGGCTGTGTTGGAATGTTAGTTTCTAATACCTGTAGATACAAAAGAAGATTGGAGTATAAAAGCTAGAAAGTAAGAAAATAAATCAAGAGAGGTCAAAAAGTCCTCTTAGAGTGGAAAAGGTGCCATGTAACATTACAGTCTACCAAACTGGTGCCTTCCACAGTGAAATCTGAAGAAGTGGCCCCATAGCCTCCATGAGGCCTGGGTCTGGTGGCTGAGCAGAAGTGCCCATGGGAAGCTGAGGAGTGGTGGTGAATTGTCTGAGAAAGCTAATGACCTCTTCCATATGAACAGCATCTCAGCCATAACTTGAATAAGTCCAATTTCCAGCCACCAAATCTTTCTGGACAAGGTAAGCTCTTCAGGAGGGATTGGCAAAGAAGGAAGGGCAGTGACGTTACTGTCTGTGTTAGGAAGTGTTTTGATGTTGTAGAGCTCAATGCTGGGGATGATGATGTTGAGTTCTTATGGGTAAGGATCGGGGGGAAGGCCAGCAGGGATGACATTCTGGGGGTCTGTTATAGACCACCCAACCAGGCTGCCACTCTGTGCTGTAAGATGAGCTTTTAGGGAAGAAGAATGTCCCGGCTGAATAGGGAACCTTTGGGACCCACATGAGGGTGCTGAGGGGTATGATTGCCAAGCTGCTTTCCACTTTTTATCAGCAGGGTCAAGTGGGGAGGCCACAAATGACTGTAGACTTCCTAATGTGCTGCTCATCTAAAAGAAGGGTAGGATGGAGGATCTGGAGAACTACTGGTCTGTCAGTCTCACCTTGATATTGGGGAGGGCAAGGGAGCAGACTATATTGAGTGCAGTCCTGCAGCATGAGCAGGACAAGAAGGGGATCAGGCTCAGACAATGTGGCTTCATGAAAGGCAGGTCCTGCTTGACCAACCTGATCTTCTATGACAAGATGACCTTCCTGGTGCAGAAGGAAAGGCTGTTGATTTAGTCTGCTTAGACTTCAGCAAAGCCTTTGTCTCTCTCTTCCACAGAATACTGCCGTGAAAGCTGACAGCCCATGGCCTGGAAAGGTGAACTCTTCACTGGGTAAAGAACTGCCTGGGTGGCTGGGCCCAGAGGGACAGTGAATGGATTTACATCCAACTGGTAACTAGTCATGAGTGGTGTTTCCCAAGGATGTCAGTACTGGGGATGTCCTACTTAATATCCTTAACGATGATCTGAATGAGAGGAATGAGTGCATCCTCAGTAAGTTTGCAGAGGACACCAAGCTGGTAGGAAATATTGATCTGTCAGAGGGTAGAAAGACCTTGCAGAGGCATCTGAATAAGCTGGATATATGGGCTGAAATCCTTGGAATGAAATGCAACAAGACCAATTGTCCAGTCCTGCACTTTGGTCACAGCAACCCCAGGCAGTGCTACAGGCTTGGGGCAAAGTGGCTGGCAAACTGTGTGGAGAAGGAGGATCTAGGGGCTGACAGCTGACTGGACGTGAGTGAGCCGTGTGCCCAAGTGGCTTTCTTGGCTTATGTCAGAACTAGATCAGCCAGCAGGAGCAGGAGGTGATTGTCCCTCTGTACTCAGCACTGGTGAGGTTGTACCTTGATTACTGTGCTCAGTGTTGTGCACCTCACAACAAGAATGACATTGAGACCCTGCAGCATATTCAGAGAAAGACAATGAAGCTCTGAAGGGTCTGGAGCACAGATGTTATGGGTAGTGGCTGAGGGAGTTGGGATTGTTCAGTCTGGAGGAGACTCAGAGGAGATCTGAAAAGGTTGTAGTGAGGTAGAGGTCAGCCTCTGCTTAGAGGTCAGGCGTTGGCACAGGCTGCCCAGGGAGGTGGTGGAACCACCATCCTTTCAAGATGTGGCCCCCGGGGCATGGTTTAGTGGGCATGGTAGTGACGGGTTGATGATTGGACTAGTTGACCTTACTGCTCTTTTCCAGCCTTCGTGATTCTATGCATCTGAGTAATGAGTTCTCCGTTATAGACATGCCTCTTCTCACACTGGTGCCTGCAGCCCCCCCCATCACATTTCTGGGCATTCTTTTTTAGATACTCAGTGAGCAGAAATT